TAGGAGAAGGCATAGAAGTGCATTAATCTGCACTCAGGGAGCCCCCTGCTTCTCTCTGATCCTGTCTGACTGTGCTCTGGTGAGTATCAGCTCTAAGGGTCAGCCTGGGAAGGCATCAGGACTGATGTGGAGGCTCTTTCCTTCATTCACCATGAAGCCTGAGAAGGCCCCATTCACCCCAAAGCTGGTACACTTTCACCCTACTGCAACTCCCCCTTTGTAACAAGAGCAAGCCAAAGATTGACCTTCTACCATATGGATGGAGAGAGGCCAAGATGAGGAGAAGGCCAAGGACTACAGATGCAGGAAGTAGAGCTAAATGTCTCTGAACTCTGAATTCCTGGGCAGTGGTATTGAGTCCCCTCCTGAAACTTCTCCTAGGATGCTCAATGATGCTCATCTCCAACCTCAGCCAGAAACTCCTCATAATTTTGCTCTTCAGTCATGTAAGCATCTGACAATTCTTCGCTGAGCCCCTGCTATACTGGGGCTGGATACACAGAAGATATGTGCCCTGTCATCAAAGATTCCTGGTCTTGTGGGAAAGATAGAAAAGGAATCAGGCAATGAGAAAATGAGGGGGGGGGGATGATGTATTCAGTGCTGGAAAGCAGAGGGCTGTGAAGGCTCTGTTTTTGCAGAATGACTTAAAAGGCAGGGAATAAGTCAAGAGGAAATCAGAAGTCTCTATGTATTGCTTAAGAATTTGGATTTTATGTGTGAGCACTAGGGAGCCTTGAAAAAGAACTCTGGTGGTGCAGTGCCTAAAGCATTTGACACTAACCAGAAAGTTGGAGGTTCAAGCCCACCAACTCCTCTGTGAAAGGAGGATGGGGAAATCCAGTTCCCTAAAGATTTACCACCTCAGAAACCCAGTGGGGGTCACTATGAGTCAAAATCAACTAAATGGCAGTGAGTTTGTTTTTTTAGTTTAGGGAGCTTGAAGAGCTTTAAGCAGAGGGGCAAGATCATCAGATTCACATCCTGAAGAAGTCAGTGTGGTGGCTGTGAGTAGGACTGATTGGCTGAAAGAAATGAGTCTTTGTAATAGTCCAGGGAAGAGATGATGACGCCTGCGCTTGGTCAGGAATAGCTGCAAAGGAGAGTAAGGGATAGTTTCACTTACTACTTAGGAGGTAATACTGGAAGACTTGGGAGATTGGTTTGATATGGATGCTGGAGGAGAGGAAGTTGTCAGGGTTGAGTCTAAGCCTGAAAGACTGGACAGATGACCTTGTATCCAATTGGGTGAAAGAACAAAGATGGTAG